TCACAAATATTTAATTGGAACAAATGGAGTCAATGTTAAAAAGGTATATTGTTAAAATAATTTAGTACAAGGGTGCAATGTGTTCATTTATGATTTTATACTTGAATTCCAGATCAGATATTTAACGAACACAAGAATAATTTTCCCACCTGAAACTGATTCCACTAATGAAAATATAACTATTGTTGGTAAAAAAGAGAATGTTAATAAAGCAAAAGCAAAATTTGAAGTTATGATAACCGATATTGGTAATGTCTTCGAAGAACATGTAGAAATCAATGAAAAATATGTTGGCACTTTAGTGGTTAATCGTGGTGAAATCGATAATACTATTATTGACTTGGTAAGTTGTATACTAACACTTATTGTTTCATCGTTAAATTATTAATCAATAATCATGTTACACAGCGGCGTAGCAGTGGTGTAGTAGATGAGACGCGCCAAGGCCTTCGTGATTTGGAGCCCTCAATTCAAAAGAAAACTAATATGAACAAAAATAGAAGCTCGCGTTAACTACAACCAATTGTTTGTTTTGATTTTTGGTAAAAATAAGTAATGAAAACATTTTTTTTTTCAAAATCTTATCAACGTCTTTTATTGTTAGATTAGTTAAAATAATTAAAATAATGAATTGTAATGTAATTATAATAAAACAAAATATATTAAATACGATAAACTTAATATAAAAATTACTATATAAACAAACTTATTGTTAATTGTTGATTATGTTTTTTTAGTATTTTGGGTTTGGCCCCCTCCATTTTAAAATCCTGGCTACACTACTGAAAAATAATATTCTTTATTACATAAAGTGAACTTAACTGTAGTCATAAATATTTATATTCCATATTAATTGATGTAAAAAAATAGAGGAGGATTAATAAAGAGTTCTAATAGTGTTTTTAAATGACTTAAATACATTTACAAAGCAATTTGTTAATCAAACTGACCTGCTATTTTACTTCTATTATATTTGGTTTATCTGTAAAAATAATAATCTCAGCCAAGAATGATTGTTATAATTTCAATATTCTACAAAATATGATGTGTTCCAATAATTAATTTTACAAGATAAAAGATTATATTTAGTATATTTATAAATACAACTACATAATTTACTAAAGCAAAAACTTAAAATATTGTTAATAAACGACATCAATTAACCAAATTAATTTTATTTTATAATATATGATAGGTACTGTATGTTTTAATTTTAAACATGTTAAAAATGTTTATGTCATGAAAAATACAGTATTTGTTTTTTTTTCCTCTTAATTATATTTTACTTTTATGTCTTCTCATTTATTTAAATTTTACTTATTGAAGAAATAGTTAGAATAGTACTCAGTAAATATTTAATATTTTTTTGCCAACCTAAAACGTGGTGGACGTATGATAAGAACACTACCGTCAGATTTCATCATTCTCGATGATAAATTCGATGAGTAGCTTATCAAGTTAGTATAGAAGTTTGTGTACCTATTAAAATTACGCAATAATATTATTTTATCCGAGCCAGTGGCGTATATAAGGGGGGGGTATACCTAGTGGACTTCAGCACCCCCCCCCCAAAATATTTTAAAAATCTTAAAAATTATTTTAAACGTAAGTTATAATTTAATAGTGCTTTATGCTTATTTAGAATTTGCGTCCATCGTAAATCGTTTTGAGACATTCTGTAAATGAAATGTAGATAAGTACCTACTGTATTTTGTTAGTAATTCTTAGATAGCAGTGGTAATTTAACTCTGTCCATAGTATCCCCTCCCGAAAATATTTTCAATATACGCTACTGTTCGTAAGCAATATTAAAAAATAATTATATTCAAAACGAATTGTACTTGGTGGAGATCGTCGGAAACAAATATAAACACTTTTGATAGAAAAATTTAAAACGATGTTGTTTAAATTTATTCCAGTAGAACAAGGTATGTGATACAAGTGATCTTTCCGATTACGTTACCTTGGAGGAAAATAATCTGGTCCAGCGATTGAATAGTTTTATCACGATTCGCGTTATTCTCAACCCTCTTAATCCTAAATGATGAGGGCATAACAATTAAAGACCACGGAACAACAACAAGACATCTCCACTTTTCAAAATTTTTTAGGAGGAACGAAAATTTCTTTAAATTAATAAATAGTTTTAAAAATTTACAAAAAATATATTCAAATACCTTGGAACTAATTATATTTGATTTCATAAAAAAAACCTCAAAATATATTTTCAAATACTCAAAAAAAAAAAATTAATTAATGGCAGAGACGTCTTGTTGTTGCACCGTAATAAAAATCCGACATCTTTATTCGTACAATATCTTTGTATTTGATCGGAATGATCGGATTTGTCCGACTGTTGCACCAATCGACGTAAAATATTTGTTGTAATAATAAAAGCTGAAAATACGATTTTGCCAAAAAATGGAGTTGCTCCGTGGTCTTCAACCGATATCACCGGACATGTTTGCACGTGTACATGTTTGAACTATGAAACTCATATTACGTAGGAATCATCTAAATCAAAAAAAAAAAAAAATCTCATGTCGATGTGAAAATAGTAAATACGATTTGATCTATTACAGCGGTGACGGCTGTTAATCGTTTGAACGAGATTGATTAATAGGTTATCGCTTAGTAATAATAATAATAATAATAATAATAATAATAATAATAATAATAATAGTCAAACAAGTAAATGTTGAATACGATTCCTGTACGAAAAGCTTGTTTTCAGACCGTCTCTCAGCGGCGTATTATCAATACACAACATAAAGCTGTTAACAGATCGCAGTGTTCAACACGACGGTTAGGCGAGAAATGTTAGCGAATCGTCATAGCACGATGGTTAATAACCCTTCCGGTATGCATTGTAACACCGGACACGGCGAAGCGAGTGATAACTTGTGCTTTCTCGCACAATCCGTGTACGTTTAAGTTGCGTTTTACACGTTATTTCACCCCACCGGCACAGTAGTGAGAACGTCGAACGAACACAAGGTTTTGCGTCCGTCCGTGTCGAAAAGTGATTAAAAAAAAAAAAAATGAACGGAAAAACGCGCATACCAAACGATTTTATCCCCGGGTTGATTATGCAGTCGCGGCCGCGGGACCTCAATCAAAACGCAGTAAAACGAAAAACATCATCATTCTCCGCGGTCTCCGTTTCTCCCGGCCGCGCACCTCCTCGCCCGATCTGATCGGGCACCAAAAGACGTTTTATTATGTTATTATCGTTATTGGACGGCGTTGCGAAACGACATAGATTTAAGAGCGTGATAAAATACGCGCAACTCGTTTCTACTCGTCATCGGGACGACACCCGGTGTAATAAACCGCAGAAAGACGCGTTCTGCCCGTGTCCGGGTCCGGGAAAAACGATCGATTTGCCGTGCCCGTATCGGAACGCAGAAACCTACGCCGATCGTACGGCTGGAGATCATAAAAAAAAAAAATAAATAAATAAATAATAGTAATAATAAAAGCCGCCTTGTTGTGATCGCATTACGTCACTGGAAAATATCGAAACACGTAACGTAACGCACGCGAGACGTACCGCGAAACTCGTGACGCACTCCGACAGCGCGTGGACGTTACAATGTAAAACGATGCGTCTACCTTGAACTACTGTTAAGGTTTTTTCGTTTTTTATTTCCCAATTCAATTTAATAGCGGTCTAAGGATTTTTATTTTTATTTTTTTTTTTTTTTTTTTTCACGGTCACACGACGGTAAAAAAAAAATAAAAATAAAAACACGTTCGTCCACCACATCCTTATTAAAAAAAAAAAAAAAAACCGCATCAATTGAAACGCATTCAACGATATTCAACGACCAAGTTTGTAAGTGGTAAAATGCGGCAAAGTTAATCTTTTTCTAAAAATCGATGTGTAAACTGCGGAAAGAAAAGGTTTACAATCTGCGACAAAACCCATGAGGCACGTGATACGAGCTGCAGACATTTATTTTATACACCTACGATATTATATACTGTATAGTACTTAAATCATATACATATATCTATCTATCTATGTGTACGTATGTTGTTTAAATAATTGTTTTACGATGCGTCTTGCGTGTTCCCATGTGTTATTACCACATATTTTTGACTCATATTCAAATTTGAGTTTAAAACTGTTGGACACTATTAACTCTTTGCCATTATGGCTAAACATTGTTCTAAATTCCATCGCGTTGAATTTAATATTAAACTTTTAACTACTCCTAATGGTATCTAACACTAGTAAGCAGTGCCGCAACTACGAGTACACTAACTTGGGCCCATGTGTAAATAAAATGAACAAACCCCCCCCCCCCCCCCCCCCCCCCAGTGTCCAGAATTAGCAAGGAAACCGTACTTTTAATCAATTGTAACCAAACTATTTTGAACTTAGATTTTAAAGGCCGCAAAAGAAACTTTGATTTACAATGATGTGTACAAAACGAAATCAGTCAATTATTATTCATGTCCATTGATGATTATTATTACAATATGGTTTTGTTTTTTTTTTTTTTAGTTGCTATTAACTGCTCCTATTGGCCCTTCCTCGCGTCATCCCTATTTAGAGGGGCCTGTTCGAATTGTATACCACGTCTTAGAGGGATATGCCGTGTAATCACAAGTTTATTTATCATGCACTTATGCGCACAAGATAAACTTTATTCTCACTTAAACTCTTTATGATATAGTTGTCACAAATGATCAGTTTCCATATTGAAATATTTTTTACATTCGAGTAAACATTTTAAATTTTTAAATGTCTTATAAAAATGTAAAATACATTTACATGATTACCCTAAACTACAATCGTTTTATGTAATGTTTAATATTTACTGTGTCACCTTCTCCAATTTGGTAAAAAGTTTACTTGGATATAAAAATATTTCAATCTAGAAATTAATCAGTTTCTAACCGTTTATTTAAAAAATTAGGAAAGTCAGAAATAAATTTTAAGTCGTACGCATAACTGCATGATAAATAAACTTGGAGGTACACGGCATGCAATTCGAACATTCCAATTTATGTTTATTGCCATGCAATCCGGATGCACTGGGATTTACCTTACCGTTTTGTACGCATAGTGCAACACAACATAATTAATTAAACAATACACGTGCGTAGGTACGTATTATGTACCATAAAAAGTACATAACAGTGGTTCTTAACCTGTGGTCCGCGATACTCATTTCGGGGATCCTCGACAGCCCTAACACATAAAATACATCAGTAAGTTTTTTTTTTTTTTTTTTTTAATTTGCCTTTTATAATCATCAGTAAGTTATATGAGTGAATTATTATATTATTGTTGGATTATTATTATCATTCATTTTTCATATATTTTTTACTATACAATAGATAGATCTTATCTTCATACGATGTTCAAAAACTTATATCTTAACCATCGCACTAAGTTAATAAAAATTAAATTTTAAGAATATTAAGAAAAGAAAAATTAAAACTAAGATAATTAAATTTAAATTAACTGAAAAATTAAGTGTAATAAAAATAATTATAAATATGTATGTTTCGTTATGTCTACTTATATAATTTATTATATGAAATCATTATTATAGTTTTGGTTTTAATAACATGAGATGTTTTGTGAAAAAAAAAAAAAATGTATTCGAAAAAAAAATTGATAAGGGGGTCCGCAATTACTGAAAATCTTTCATCAGGGGCCCGTGATCTACAAAACGTTAAGAACCGCTGGTACATAGCATCGTGGGTATATAAAACGAACTGCCGCAGTTCGGACAACGTATCGGATCGGTCCATCGTCGCAGACTGCGTTAAATTCCTTCTTGCCGCAGTTTACGTACCGATTTTTAGGTGAATTTCGCCGCAGCTCAACATCTCCCGCGCACGTAAACGTGCTCGCTCGCGCTATTCAACACATGTACGATGCGTGCACGTGGTGCGGTCGGCATCACCGCCAAGACATTCCTCGAGCGGGCGACCGTCTCCTCCCCTCGAGACGGATTAAAAGGCTGTGGTGAATATCAATCATAGTATACGTGCGCGGCGGACGCAGAAGACAAACCCTTCTGTTGAAATATGCTTCTCATCCGACCTGCCGTCCGTGCACCGTCTGGAACAAAACGACATTCGGTCACGCTCAAGCCGTACGGGTGCGGGTAACGGGTACGGGGGTGTGTGCGAGCACACAGGGCGATTCGAATGAACGTTCGTGCGAGCGGGTTTGGTAAATTGAGTCCCATTTTATTAATTTTAGGTAAAATGAGTCCCACCCAAAAAAAAAAAAAAAAAAAAAGGTAAATTGAATCCCTTATATAAAAATGAAATCGGTAAATTGAGTCCCTTGTATAAACATTAAAGCCGTAATTTGAAACATGGTGAAATGCCGTTTTTTTTTTTATTTAACACACTTTTAATTGTATTAACACTATATATGTATATTACGTACATTAAACTTACATCTATCAGTTATCACATATCACATCCAGCGGTGTTGTTGATACTTAGGTACTTATAAAAATGTCGCGTAATAATACGGAGCGAAATATAATAATATTTAACGATGTAACGATAACTTACTTGTAGTACTCGGTGAATTTATAACTATATCAACGATGATGTTTATAATTCAAATACATTTAAATAAATTTAATACATTAAATATTTTAGACGGGACTCAATTTGCCGCTTTAACTGTTATACGAGGGACTCAGTTTACCTATTTCGAAAAAAGATAAATTCGCTTGGGGCTCAATTTACCTAGGTTCTGTGTGATACCGATGTGTCCACGGATACCACGCATCCCGCGCGCGTACGTACCCATTACATGCGCTCGGTACCGGTGTCTGCTCAGGCACGGCTCCAAGGGTGGTGAGCACTAGAGCCATGGCCTCCCCAGGATTTTCGAAAATTTTAATTTTTCAGTACATTTTTGTCCTTGTGAACTGTAAGATTCCGATTATTTAATTAGATATCTACCAAACAATTTTATTTTGCATAAAAAACCATATTATGACATAAATATGAGGTGTGTATCATAATATAGGAACGTAATCGGACTCTGGATCTCGATACTAATATGGGGAAACAACTATTATCAGTAAATACTTAAAATGGCCCACCCCCCTGGTAAGTCTCTGAAGCCGCGTCTATGTCTGCGTGTGATGCGCGCGCGCCTTCGTGTGTACACGACAAAACGAATGCGACGAGCCGGAGGGTGAGACGTTCACCGGCTTCGGCCGCGATTCTTTTTCCACGTCCGCAACGCGAGCATACACTTCACGAACGACTGCGAATTGCGAAAAGAGACTACCTCTTGTCGAAGTGCTAAAGCGAACAGGTGCTTGTTTTCAGTAAGAGGAAGGATTTTGGAGCCTATACAACGTGCAATAAAATGGTATACGTACCGCAGGAGCGGAACTAAATGGTGGAAGACGAGGATTTATCTCCGGGCGTAAAATTTTAGAGGGTGTAATTTTTGTAGTTATTAACAATTGATTTAATATTTTCAATTTTGTCAAGTACTGATGTGAGGCATAAAACTCAATAAGTATGATTGTATGTTAAGTATTAAAAAAACGTTTTTGAGAAGAGTATTTGATTAGTGGTTTATGATGGGGCGTGACATTTTCCCCCAACGCAAAAATTCCTAGTTCTACCTCAGACGTATCGTCAGTGCCGCGAAAACCGGGTGTGTTGCGTGTGTCAAACATATGGACCCATCGTCCCAGCTTGTAACAGGGCCTAATGATAATATTCGAAAAATATGTAGAAAGCAAAACCATTTTGTTGTAATCATTTTTATTGGAGATTGAACGATAAATGATGGATTTTGTTTACTTTTTGCGACCTGTATAACAGATATTCAAAACAGTTTGGTTACAATCGATAAAAGGTACGGTTTCCCTGCAGAATCCGGACGCAAGGGGGGGGGCGCGTTGATTGTATTTACTTTATTTATACACCGGCCCGAGTTGGTGTAGTTGTGACACCGTGTACCGTATAGTATATTATTCGTGGTCACTACAATACGATCTTTAAGGGGAGGTGGGCGATCTCCTATGCCATCCACCCCCTAAACTACTTGCCCGTACTGTCCGCGGAAACGTGTGTACTATACGAAAGCGAACGAATATTGAATTGCTAACGCGCACTACTGCCTACTCGCACCGGGAACCACGGTTCGTTCGACGAATGATTTTCAGTGCACCCATCCCAATCCTATACATCCGGTTCACGGTATTCTGCAAACCGTTGACGCTATTGCGATCCGACGTTCGTGGTCTGATCACATTTTCGGGTTACCAAATACGTTTTGTTATTTAATATGTTCTGTACGAGTGCATCGTTTGAATTAAAAATGCGGACAGGTTGATTATCGAATGAAGTAACTTGGATGGTTTTATCGACAATGTAAACGCTATAAATGAACATTTCAAAACGTTTTCGCTCAAAACATTTTATCATCGTATTTCCTGAATTTACACTCATCGTTTTGTTCTCCCGACAAGAAAAAATTTTGAATTTCCGTCTGTAATAAAGCAACATTCATTTCGAATAATTTTTTTTTTTTAAACTTCTTAAGAGTGTGACTGAAAATAAATAACAACAAAAAGTAAAATATTAGAACTTTTGGTAAAGTTCAGAGCATTGCGCGTCGTCCGTACGTCACTTAACTTTCTAGAACTTTGAAATCATGTGGCGCACGTTAACAGACGTTATCTCGCAGCATTGTGGATATTCTGCAACAACTCGGTAGTTTCCACCACAGAAGTACTTTACGGATAATATTCAAACGTGTGTAAAGCGTTTAGAATATATAAATATTCATATAACGATCAAGGATCAAGCCCTCTAATGTTCTAAAGTTGTTGAACGCGCACAACATAGTGTACCTGGAAAACAGAAAAACAATTATAAAAAATAAAAAACCATTTGAATATTGTTTCCGAACGGACGTGTTATTTAAAACACATCATATATGCTACTCGGAATGATTCTCATCACGAATACTTAATTTATAAATTATAATATAATAATAATATTACATTACAATATTGTTTATACCGTTCTCGGGGTACGTTTGTCACCATTTTGATGTTCACAATGAAATCGGATATTTACGTTTTATACGGTATTAAGCACGTCACAATCAAACCTTTCTAATACTCGTTGGAAATAAATCATTTCGTTTTAAAAGAATCATAATAAATAACTCACAATTATACGCAGTCGTATTTGATGTAACTTCGGATGTTTTCCTAACAAATGGTTCTACGAACAATAATTAATTCACCCCCAGGTATTCATGCACTAGGTCGGGCTGCACAGACAGCCGAACGGATTTAAAATTATAATCGGTAAACTATTATACACGGTCAGATAAGTCTGACTTGACTGCTAATAAATAATGAAAGAAAAAATCAGAAGGAGACCCATTGTTGGATCGACAATGACGATCGGTCGTTAATCCCATTCCCGTATTCTTAATCGTTCTTAAATTATGAAAATCGTCCATCACGCACCCAAGATAAATTCAAAAAAATAGACGGTTTAAACTTAAACCGTTTGTACGTCACAATCTGATAATTTAGTTGTATTATTCGTTCTAGACGTGTGTACGTTTGGTTCCGTCGCGACGAATCCACATACAGAGCGACACACGGCGCAAAACGGTTCACGATCTTAATCGTTTTCATTTCCGATAACAATCGTCGCTGCGCAAGTCTGTTGTGTGCCGCCACTGTGCACGAGTAAAACACTGAAACACTTTACGGTTCAAATAATAGTGTAATGGTAAATAACCACATTCATTAAGTACCATGCTACTTGAAATTTGTTTTTTTAATAAGTCTACGTGCTGCAATCGAACAAATGTATTTATCCACCTACGTTCCATATAAATCGGTAAAGTCGTTGAGATTATAAAAGTAAAAAAAACCGGTTAGATGATGGAAAACACTCTAGTTTTTATATAAATATTTAAAAGCAATGGTAAATCATCACATTCAAAAAAAAAAACCATTCTAATAGCTAGGGTCGATGTTATACAGTATAATGTATACGTACTCAATACATACGATGTACACATGTATTGGGATTGTATTAAACACTAAAAATCTTTGAACGAAATATAACACTCGGTACTTATATGAAAACATTTTAAGTGTGATTCAACGAAAACCGCACTCGAATGTTTAAAAAGAAAAATCCGTCACTGTGTTATTGTAAAAACATACGGTGTTTTCTTATAACAAACCTGGTGAAAACGAATTAACCTAATAAAATATTATGGTTTTCGTAACACCAAAGTTAAATAGATTATGGTCTTTTTTTTTATATTACACTTTCAAGTCATTAAATAAAAGTGCTCTATCAACAAAAAAAAGGGCATAAGCGCATACCTCTAATCGTTGTTTCAAGTTATTTTTCATGTCTTTCGTTAAAATCGAAAATCTGACGAGAAATACGAGACACTCGAACGACAGACTTGTGGTGGACGTTTACTACGAGAAGGTTTGATGATACGAAAATAGCAACATCATCAAACCGATGTCTTTTTCGGTACGTTTAGAATTCGAGTCCTTAATTCGAGTTCAATAACGGTTCATCATTAATTTCGTCGTTTTCTTTTTTTCTTTTTGTTAAAATTACAAATAGCGTAATCAATTAATAACATTCCCCCCCACCACCACCACCACCACCACCACCACCTATTGTTATAAGGTAGTGGATTAGCCGCGTTCGGAAGCGTGAGTAACAACGAAACACATCGCTCCGGACCTGAGTTAACGGCGAGCGTGCGTAATGCACAACAAATGATTGCGTGCAAATCGAACGCGTTCACCGCAGGGACAAGCGTACTTGGTCGGTACAGTTTTCGGATCGTTGTGCTACAGGTACTATACTGTTTTCGGAGGACTGACTTTTGCGTGACGCGTCGTGGTTGTGCGACGTGGCAGAAACCGAATCGCTCGGAGTGCCGGCCGCGGGTTCTCCGTTCCAACGGTTCACGATGATTTGTATTCTCGAGACTTGGATCGGACCGTTTGTCGATGTCGAGCGCGCGCCACCCGGATTCCGGTGCCAGTGTCGCCCCCATGGGCTTTTTTTCTTTTTTTTTCTAGTCTTAAAGCTTAAAAACGTATTTAAGAAATACGACGGAGCAGTCACAGTTAAATGGATTGGTGTTAATGAACGTACATCGAGACACTCCATTATCTACAGAACAAATAATTGATGAATTCAGTGTAAAAGCCAGAAGGATAAATTTTCGCCTTGATTGAACTGTTTTTATTTTATTTTTTTTTTTTTTTTTTTTTTGTATAATAATAAAGAATAAATATTGAACATAATACATTTTTATTTATGACATCCCCCTCGCATACAAAATTCCTGCGCGCGCCACTGTCCGGCGCGAGCGTTCGTGACTCGCGGGAGGGTAAAACGATACGGTTCGTCCGTTCGAACCACGTCCGTCGGGATTCCAGTGAGTCATAACGTCAACGACAACAATAATCAATAATACTCGTTGTTACGATATCGTGACGGACAACGGATGAGAGGAGAGAAAAAAACCCGGGCGTAATTCAATACGATGTGCGTACGATTTCAAACCGAATAGTTTACACGTCCGCACCAAAGGTGTGTATTTTTGGTCGTTTCGTACCCGTACGGGCCGGCGACGGATAGCCAACGCGACAGGGATCGGTTGACGTTGATTTTTATAAACCAGCTTCGGCTCAACTCGTCGATAAATAGGGTAGTCGTGTGAAGCGTTCACCTTGCAGTCGGTTCTCAGAACGAAATCATAAGAAAACATCGAGTGTCTTTCGTTTATACGATTCTAATCAGTGATTTAATTTAATTTTCATCTCGGTGAATTTTAGTTTTATTGTAATTACATTTAAAAAATTAGAAACAAAAATATGTCCTTAAATGAAAGTATGCAAATTGTCGAATCGACGATTGCGAAATGAAAACTCGTAAGCGGACCAATAGGAGATGTTGAAAAAAAGAAAATCGATGCTGTTACAGAAAAAAATTCCAGGCTATATTGATTTTAAATCAATCAATGACATAAGGAGTGGCAGACACCCTTCTAAAAATTTGGAATCATCGCCTTCTGATACTATGCTTTTCAAATATGCTCTAATCAACCGATGTAAGTTGATGTGGAACGATCATTAAGCCGTTTTAAAAATATTTTCAGATCTAATAGGCGACGTTTAATATTTGATAATTTAAAAGATGTTGTAATAATTCAACGCAACAAATCATTTTGATAATTTAATAATTTAATTTTTTTTTTTTTTTTCCTACTTATTTGGATGTTTTTAACACATATTTTATGAATTATGCTTACATACATATGTACGTATTTCTGTATTTTTATTACATATAAATGCGTTCCCTACTAATCACTTGTAGGTTTTCATTTCAGTTTTACGTTGTATCGATTACACGTACGTCGTCATTGCCTCCGATAGACCGCCAGCACAACGCTATTTCGTTTGCCTACTGTATTTAAACGATCGCGATCGTTTTTCGGAACTTTTCATTTTTTAGCTTTAACGGTTCAACCGACGTGAACGTCGAGACAGTAGAACAACGGTGTCTCGATACCAGGAAAACATCGTCGGTAAACCGGTACATTCCTCGCCTCGTTCGGTATTCAAAATAAAGCAAATATTGTGATATCGCAATCGTTGCCGGAGGGAATCGGAACAAAAAAAACATTGAAAAGGCGCGTTCGGCCGCGTTTAATGATCGGTTAATGACAAAGTGTTGAACGCGGATTTCAGTCGCAGTGGTGTTCTGCGGAATGTACAACGTGAAAAAGTCACTTCTCGAGCATGCGCTTTCCTCCGGACGGTTCGACAAACCGAAATCGAACAACGGTGTAAATATATCGCTCAGCGGCTCGAGGTACGGCAAGTGTGCACTGCAACGTTTCGACGAACTCCACTCGGACCTGTTGCGCGGTATTGGAAATCCGCGGACGCTAGCAACGATATCCCAATGCAGATCAACGCGCAAACGTCTGGATTCTTGGATAGCGCTGCGGCCTCGCACTATCGGCGCTATGAGGCGTTCGCGCTTTTCCGGCGAACGTTTTCCAACGAACTCCGGTAGGGTTTTTCGACGCCGCCGTCGTGCAACGTTCGTCAATCGTTTTGACTCTCGCGCGGTCCGACGCACGGGCTCGATCTTGACATCGCCCCTCGTACGTTCGTCGTCCCTACGGTCCGCAGCGGACACGTCTGCGCGCGTGAAACCGTGTCCTGTGTGAATCCGGTGAGTGCGGCAATCGCGTTGCGGTGCGTGCGATGCGGCGACCAAAATAGACAAACCTTGTGGTAACATTTCAGCGTTTCCAATGTACCGCCGCTGCTATCGCCGCACATGCGGTCGATCGAATTCGTTCGCACGCACCGGACGATTTGAAAAACAAATCATTTTGTTTTTGTCGCCGCACATAGCTGCGTTTGGTGCGCTTGTACTATTTAATGTGGAAAGTTGTGAACTTTTGATTACTGAAGTGCAAAAGCGAAGTGCGCTGTGGAACAAGCTCAACAACAATTACGGGGATAGATTATTTTGTGACATGGAATGGAGTGTAGTTCCTGAAAAAACTAATTTGGATAGTTAGCGTAAAAAAATATTAAAAAAAAAAAATGAATTATATAATATAATATAACTGTTTATGTATAATTATTCAATACTTGTAATTATATTATGCGTGGGTATGTATTATTATTTGATTTATTATTATAGCACTATAAACCCTAAATTAGCAGATAGCAATAAAATAAAAAAATATGCAAAAATAAATAGCAAAATTAAATTTTGTGTATGATACCTATCTAAGTAAATTTGAATCATGTTAAATTCATAATAAGTCGTATCAATGCCAATATTAAATGTGAACAATTTTTTAAAACCGTCCACGCGTATTTTATTCAAGTGTGTATCGCCGTGCACTGCGATGTCACACTCACTTTGCCACGAGTGCGGCGTTCAAAAAAAATAAAAAAAAAACGTCCGATGCGTCCGATTCGAATTCGTTCGCATCGGACCCACTCGCCGGATTCACATAGGACACGGCGTAACACGGCATGCAGAGACGTTGGACCGACGATCGACGCGTCGCGGCGACGTGTGCGTAATCGACCGCGTCCAAGTCGAACGACCTGCCGCAACGGTTTTTACGGTAGGTCCTTCGTCGTTCCCGTCACCGCCGCAGCGTTACCGCAGCATAACGCGCGGCAAAGAAATTCGGAAACGGAAACGGAAATAACAAAACCAACGTCCCTCTCTCCCGACGGCCGCGGACGCGAGATGTGATCGAATGTCGACCACTAGTGATGAGCAAGCCACGACCGAGATCAAAAACTTTTGGCAGCCTTGGTCTTGCCGACTCGGTCTCTCGGCATCGGTCTCGATCCGGGTCTTGCTGCAAGACTCTCGCGAGAAAAACTTTTACGCTTCCCGTTTTGGCTAAGGGTTTGTAAAATCTTACAGCGTTACACGAATACCGCACGAAATGAACACACGCACTCATAGTCGTACCCCGATCACCAGCTTTAGTCGAATCTCGTAATTAGCATCAAGTTCAACGGAGAGATGTGTTCGCGGACCTAAATAAACACTGCGGTTTATAAATATGTCGTATCCGCCCGCAGCGGTGACTATGGTTATAACATTTGGTTATAATATGTTTTCGTATATATATATATATATATACGTATGTCTTATTCCGCAACTTAAAATGATTTCATTCGGTTTCTACAGCATTTGTTGAAAAACCTTTTTACAGGAATATCATATCCGGTTATTTCTAATTTTGTTTCCAATATTTCAATAATTCGTCATTTGCCCTGTGATCGCGTCGTACGTCAAATGTAATATTACGTTTTCTAAATGCGTTTTTATGGGATCATTTTTTTTCAAAAAAAAATTACAATAAGAATTGCAAGACTACAAGACTGTTACAGGATGAATCTTGTTTTAGTCCTGGTCTTGCAAACTCGATCTTAATTTCGGTTTTACAGAGCCGTTGTAGTCTTGGTCTTGCAGCAAGATCAATACTAAGGTCAATTTTTCTCATCGCTATCGGTCATCGAAAGGCGCAAATGTGTTGTTTCGCGCGACCCCGAAAAATCTACGCCATCGAATACGCGCCGTCCTATTATCGCACCAAGCGGACGCAACCACTAAAAGTCAATATAAACAACATAATTTTTCTAACGTGTCGTAAGCAAACGATTGCGGCGACGTCTAGTGGCCGCGTCCGTCCGCGTAGGCGATACCAAATCTAACGATACGTTATATTGCATCGGTAGATTATAAAAACCTTAGCGTGCAAGATTATGATACCGGACCTATTTGATTGTGCCATGCTCGGTCCTCCGCTTTTTTGTAAAGAAAAAAAATTTTGTCGGCCAACCAAATTTCGCCCACCGGCTCCGATTCTCGACGACGTCTCTGGGATTCGCGGTGCTGCTGATGATCGTCCGTCCGGTTCCGGCCTATCCGACTACAGGACGTTATGTGTGGACCGGAAACGTGTGGAAACGGGATTCAAATCGAAATGCAAAAAATAACCGTTTCCTCCGACAGCCGTTGGACGATGCACGATATCCAAGACACGGGTAACGATGGTTTTCGGGGCGACCATCCGGTGAATTTTCCCGTGTTCTAATCGAAATTTAAATTCCGATCAACGCAAGCATATTTTATACAATATCGATATGCGTGTAGATCAAGCATGTCAAACCCAAAGTGTCAAGAGAGCCAAATATATCGAATTGTTTACTACGCGGTCCGCACATAAAAATTTAACGACAACAAATTTTTATACTATTACATACATACTATATGTATACTTATGAGTAGTATTTTTATTGCTAATTAATTTGAATTTTGAGGTCATTGTAAAAATAATTATTTCGAACGTAAAATCTTGAAGTAAAAACACTAACTCAGCCGTTTGCCTAATCCAGTGGTTCCCAAACTCTTCTATTTTACGTCCCCTTTATTGATTGTCAGAAACCTCGCGCCCCCTCCTATAAATTGAAAAAAATCGATTATTTTCGTGCACTTTACCAGTAAACAATACAATATTCGAAAGGACTACGATTTATTGATGATAATGATTATAAAATATAAATAATAGTGAACGATAAAACGGAACAATGGATTAAGTTGAAATACAAAAGTAATAAATTAGTATAAAACATTTACAGTAGTAAGTAGTAAACACTACTTAACGAAATTATTGATTAATATTAATCGATGTTAATGCTGACAACAGTTCTCTTCGACAGTTTTTTTTTTTTTTTTTTATTCCGGCACGCACTCGGACGGTTCCGATCGGATCGATCGGTGCAACGTGACGCACCCTAGTGATGAACCGAACGAGTGGAGTTGGTGAATTTCGTCTCCGGATTGTCCGTCGACCTCAGGGAGGCCAGTAGCGCGCAATGGTTTCACGAAAAAAGTCGCAGCCGACGGTTCACGCCCAACGGTTTATACCGTACTCGTATGCGATCGCTGTGTGCACGACACGCGAGCGCATCGTGGTGCCCCGCGGTCGATCGAAGTGGTGCCGGACGGACGATGTGGCCGCGTGACAAGTCCAAGAGGTTCCGACGCAGACGTTCGCACGGGCCAGAGTTTCGCTGGACGAATGACAGCGGGTGGGTCGTCGTCGAATAAAACCCGAAACCATCTACACCGGCGGTTCTTAACCTGTGGTCCGCGGCCCTCTAGGGGTCCGCGATACTCATATCGGGGGTCCGCGGCAGCCCTAAGACATAACATATGTACATCAATACATGCTCATGAGTGCATCATTATAATATTGTTGGATTAATATTATTATTATTTTTATATACATTTTTTATTATACAATAGATAGATTTTATCGTGTCATGATTATACGATGTTATAAAACTCGTGTACCAACCATCGTATTAAGCTAATAAAAATTAAAATTTTAAAATTTAAGAATATTAAAAAAATTAATTAAAACTAAAATAATTAAATTTAAGTTAAATGAAAAATGAAGTGAAATAAGAATAATTACGTATAAATATGTATGTTTTGTCATGTCTATTAATGTAATTTATTATGTAAAATAATTATTATAATTTTGGTTTTAATAACATGAGATGTTTTGTGTAAAAAAAAAAGTATTAAACAAAAAGGAGATCCGTAATTTCTAAAAATCATTCATCGGGGGTCTGTGAAATACAAAAGGTTAAGAACTGCTGATCTACACCGGTCACGTTAGCCTGTGCGGCCCGCGGCTGCCAATATCAATGGACAAAATTGAAATATAAACTGATACTGCCATATTAAAGAAAAAAAAAAATAAAGAAAACAAATTGCGCAAAAGAACTTTGCGTTCCCATAAGTCGGTTGAAATGTTATATTTAGCCTATAAGTGAAACATGCATAAAAAAAATAAAAAAATTAAAAATATAGGAAATCAGCGATTATTATTCTCCAAAAAGATAATCACCGTAATTCTATATCATTATTCCTACGGCTATACCGGTTCACTTGCACGTAAATTTACGAGTGTAATACACGTGATGATCATATTCGTACTTGTTTTCGTGAATAATATGGGTAACCGCCGTGGAACAGTACGAGTACTTGTTTTTAATAATACAACAATAATAATAATATACCAATGTTTTGATCGCAATTATTACGTCCCGAACGTGTCCATTTTATACATCCCAAGGGTTGTTAGCAAATTTACTAGATTTTCTAGCAAACACCGTAAGGGTGACCCAATTTTTTTAATCACGACGTTCAACGGTTTTATACGGGTAAAATAATATATTTAACACGCAGTATAATTTGTTTTTCGCGTATTTTACAAAATACGTAATTCGACTCACGATTCTTTTAGTATATTATCCGCAATTTATAGAAATCGTTGAATCAAATAAAATAGATGCACACAAATACATTCTCAGGCAACCGTAGTCCTTTTTATTCATGATATTTTATATTTTTTTCTACTATATCGTATTAAAAATCAATACACTCGTATTATGATCCTGAAAACATTTAATATTTATTATTTTATTAATCGATTTAGCAGTTATTGTTGCAATTATTATTACTAATATAATGTCGTATGATGCATTTTATCACGAGATTTGTCAAGTTCAAAGAAATCCATTTTTTTTATACTTGAAAAAATTAGATGTACCATGTAGATAACCAGGGCTGGGCAAGATGCCTAAAAAAAAGTATCTAATTACAAGATACAAGATACATTTATAGTACGTATCTAAATACAAGATACAAGATATTTCGATATTTTTAAAGATAGGTACTAGATACAAGATACAGATAGCTGAGATACATATAAGATACAAGATACTTTATACATTTATCAATATTTATTTATTTATTTACATTAGGTACAACACAAAAGAACATAAATATATTTATAAATTACAATGTTTATTTATTAACTATTAAATGTTTAAATTTAAAAAAAATTATATGTAGTGTTATAGTAAAAGTTTTTTATATGTAATATCCCATGTTTTAAAAAATATTCCTGGTTACCTTTTAAAGAGACTGATTACTATTAATAATAATAAATAATTTCATTTTTCAATTCACATTTATTATTTCATCAAAATTAAATATTATATAGAATGTTCCATCTAAGGATTTTGGAATATTAACAATTACATTATTATTAATGTTTTTAGTAACAGATACTTAAAATTGGATGACACTATACAAATATCGCGTAGACAGAAAATATGAACCGATCATCGCACAATCACACATTCTAAAATAAATGTTTAGCGCGATAAAATTAAGAAAACATTCTGCCGATAAACTAAATTTATGTAACTTACTGATTACAAAATTTGCTCATAATAAATATTATATGTAATATAATCTTTATTATGAGCAAATATTGTATTTATTGTTCATTTATCAAGTGAATGCCTTCGACGTGAAAAATTTAATAATAATTAATAATTATTAATTATCTAAATTATTAATAATTATTATTACATAACAATAGATTTTATCTAGTATCTTTAATCATAAAAAGATACAAGATACAATTGTATCTCAGATATGTATCTTAAATAATAGTATCTAAGATACTTCCCAGCCCTGTAGGTAACAATGTTTTCTTTTATTATGTCTAAGGTTCGTATGTTTATGCATTTAAAATGACTTTATTGTCATATGCATTTATGCACTAAGAAATTGTCAAATATATATTTAAAGAATGCACAAAAAATAATCCAAAACATGCAGGAAAAAAATGTTTTTTACCTTTAGTATTAAAAATTAAAAATTAATTATAATATTTAAGTATTGGATTTTTATTAGTTTTTATTTTTATATTTTATGTTTTTTTTTTTTTTTTATATTATTTACTAATTTACAGTATGAACGCTACTCTGTGATACAATGTTTTTTTTTTTTAATTCGATCAAACTTGAATCTAATTATATTCGGGATAAATTTAATTATAGGTCAATATTTTTTTCATTTATCTGACCGTTAATTTAAATTGTTTTTAAAAAGTTTCGAAAACGAACGGAAGTATGCATTGATATTCTTTTTTTTTTCGTTTAATTTGCTTTTGTTTAAAACATTACAGCAAATTAATTAGGTAAACATAACTAAGACTAATTACATATGAATAAAACTAATAACGAGTTAAATTAAGAAGCCAGAGTATTTAATGAAGTTAATAATGGAATGGATGATAGGAATGGAGCGAGAGTTATGGAGGAGATTAACATCGGAAGAGTTATAACCAAAAGAAGATAGGAATTAAAAAAGGAGTTATCGGCTAGGAAAAAGAGACAAAGGAAAATTATATGGTTGAAGTCGCAGACAGTCATCGTGTTTTCGAGAATATAGAGAAGAGTTAAGTGAGAGCTTAAAGCCATGGTAAAAACGAAGATTGTGGTTTATTAGAAGACGAGTGAAAGCGACGATATTTATATTCTTGAAATTCCAAAAATATGCTAAAATATGCAAAATAGTATTATTTGATACAGTTGAATATGAATCATATTTTTATCCAGATCCGTATAAAATTGAATCAATAGAACAAAATATACAATATCATAAACATCCAAACCCTAATTGTGAACCAGTCTTAATGAATTCATAAAAAAAAAAAAATTTATGAGCGTTTGAATTTTAAATTTTGCAAAAACAAAAACGATAATAACCCTTTTTTAAACATTTTATATAGCTCAAAAAGTATTCCATTTTTATTTGCATTTTTTATCGTATTTACTTCTTTAATGCATTTTTGGTATTCTCACCACATTATTTTCATATTTCATAATTTAGCATTTTTGGAAAAAATTAAAAAAATTTCATGTATTCAATATTTTTCTTTAGTTCAATTATTGACAACTACATATTATCGTCTTATGTTATCGTTATGTCATTAAATTATGGTATAATAGTCGATGACGATAATAATTATACGGACTACGTATGTGAAAAGCGTTGATCAATTAAAATAAAAAAATTTTAGTGCATTTTTAGTAGTCATTTTTCACATTTTTAATACATTTTTATGTCATTAATTAAATTTTTTAAATTTTATTATATTTTATTACATCGTTAATTAAATTTTTTAGGTCATAATTATATTTTTTCTCAGGTATTTTAAGGTATTTTTTATGGCATTAAAATCCGTGCCCTACTTATTATAAATATATTTAAAAAAATTACAATTTTTTGAATAAAAAAAAAACTGCCTTTTATTGAGATGAAATATTCAGGTACTTACTAATCTGTTGAACATTTCGTTTTCGATCACAATTTGAAATGTATCCCAATGATACATATAATTCAATCAATTTTAATTTAAATAGTGTAACTATTTAATTTTTAGCATTATTTTTGTTTGAACATTAAACTAACAATATTTTCAAAAAATAATTTAACCAACCAAACTCACAATTCAAACAAACGCTTGTACAAAGTTAACCACAAAATATTAGTTTTATTTCCTCGGAATATTGTTTTCCGTATTCGTGATTGGTGTGTCTCGATTTATAATTACTGACAACTTGTACGCGTATATTACACGTACGCAATCGAAATCTTATCCGCGGCTTTAACTTCTCGTGCGGACAAAATATGATACTTTTTTTTATAGATATTATACAAACGGTTGATTTGCAATCAACGCAACAACGAATAATTATTCATAATAACCGACACGTTTGTGATTTAACAAACAGCATACGCGTATTGCGTGACGGTGATTTTGCGTTGAACAAAAAGTAGCGATATCCATGTGCGTATGTGACGACATAACAGCAAAGACTCATCCCTTGCACGTGCGTCGTGAAATTCAATATTGGTTCCAACAGCGGACCACCAGCGTACGATTTCAATGACGTTCAACCGCAATCGAATATAATAATATAATATACAGACTTTTGGAATCTCCTTGTAACCTATATTCACACTTCTGGAAGTCGCTATTTTCACGGTCAACATCTTACGGACGTATCCGTCCGACATCGCGTACTTATTGACTAATCAACACCCTGTGGCGCGTATAATCTTACGCCTAAGTTTAGACTCGAGTTTTTATTGTTCAACCTTGCGTACGCAACAACACTACTCGATATCGGTCATTAATCGATTGTAAAATACAACATGTATCCGGTTTTATTGTTTATTCTATGTCAATCCGAACCGATCAATCCGTTTCACAACGAAATCAATCGGATAGTTATCATAGTTCGGCATACCGACCGTTACGCCTAC